TTGCTATTTAGCTCCAGCCAGCAAAAGGATATCTGGGATATTCCCTACTTGCTCCAGAGAGGAATTTAACTTGGGAGGATGTAGAAGGTCCTTCCCCTCACTAAATATTATTTATGATTATTAAACTGCAAGAAAACATTTCTAATCTAGGTGTAGTGATGGTCAGAAAAGGGTTCAGCCACACTTAAACCTTGCCTAGAATATGAAGAAGGCTGCATTCCTCCCCTGACTCTAGATTTCCTTATGGGTTTATGTTTTGTGTCCTCCTCACCCATCTTTGCTGATGTGTTGAACTGAGTGCCCTTATCTAACCCGATTTTAAATCCCACACAACATCAATAGACATCTAACATCTTTAAATTAAATTTATTTTTCAAATCAGTGGTGCTTGCTGAACCATCAAATTAGTGTACATGTAGGTGCTGTGCAGTGTTTTCATTTAGGCTGAGTGAAAACTCTTTGACCTACATACTTGGGCAACAAAAAGGTTTGCTAGGCCCAAATAAGTACCTGTCCCATGGAGAATAGGTTGTCATCTGCAGTTGCTGCTTTGCTCCCTGCCACTTCTCATTGCCATTTTAGAGATCTGAAATAAGACAGGACCATTTTTTTTTTCTTCTCCACCTGTTCATTCAGGTTAGTTCCTAGTAAGTAGGTCTGGATGTCACTCTCTGCTCCACGCTCTTCCCTGGCGTGTACTCACCTGCCACAATCTCACATATAATTGGCACTGTTACAAGCACCTTTGTCCTCACAGTTATCCTGCCTCCCCAGGCTTTCCTTTGCCTAGAAGAGAAAGAAAACAAGCTAACATAACTGCAAAACAACCAGAAATACCAGGACAAAAGTAGTCTCTTCAAGGCAGGAAGCTCCACGTATCCAAATTCAGACAGCATAGAGAGACCGGGCTACTTTGCACAGCATCCAGTACTACGTCCCAGCTCTGTATTTCTTCTATTGTGCACAACTGTATCTGCTTCTGTTCCATCTAGTTATTTGTGAATAAAGAAATATAAAGTATTCTAATAACAGCTAAATCACCTGCATAACTCTTAAGGTGTCAAAGAAGCCAGTCCAAGAAAGAGAGGTGTTACCAGAAATAGTGGCTAAAAACAAGAGTCTGAAAAGGAAAAACCGAAATTTCATTTCTGTGTGGGTGGCAAACCATGAACACCTAGGTCTTTTTTATCTTAGATCCTTCCCCCACCTCTCCTATTTATAAAATTGGGGTTGTGGCGTTATCTGACTAGGTGATAATCTAGCAAAAAGTACCGTGCAGTTTGCAAAGCACTAAGGTTGTATCTGTGTCACTATGAGATGGAGTCCTGGTCTGTACAAAGGGCAGTGCCGCAGCACTCAGGCAGGTCCTGCTACAAGCATGCCAGGTTGCCTTTTGGCTTCTAAACATCTCCCAAAACCATGGGTAATAGATGTGGGCGTGGGTACTGACCATAAGGCCAGGACTGGAAGCCATAATATATTACTGCTAATGTCAAATATTATGTCTTTCAGAGAAGATCTTCATACCACCCATCCATGCAACGTGCCCAGCAAGAGCCAAACTACCTAGGCAGGACATTTGACAGAAATCAAAATGCATCCTACAATGAGGTGAGATAGTCAAAGAAGGACGTCTCTGCTTGTTTTCCCTATATAGAACATCGAGCATGTCCCTATATAGACAATGGGCATATGTGGGACAAAGAGGACAGACAGTCCTGTACATGTAGAAATCATTTTAAAAGATTGATTTGAAGAGATGAAAATATATAACCAGAATAAGTGTTGGCATATTCATGTTCATAATCCTGCTTGAGATCTGGAGAAAGAATGGTTTACTTACAGGAAATGCATAATTAAATACAACATAACAAGCACACGAGGGAAAACTCTGACTTAAATCTACTTGTCAATTTTGTTTTCAGTATCCCTATTCTTCTGGGATCTTGAAGGGGACTGGCTTCCCACCTGGTAAGCAACAAATGCTAAGCACTGAGAAAGCAACTCTCACCAGCTCAGCTCAGTAAAAATGTTTGATTTAGTATAGACACAGCATACAACAGATTGAGGTAATAGACACAGACTTTTAGCACCCTGTATAAAGAGAAAACAAAAAGACTGTTTCTGAGGCCAGCACTTGCTGTTGGTAGTTTATTGGTAGCTTGCTGCAATGTTGGGTGGTGACTTCTGAAGACTGATCTCGAGGTTCAGTATACCTGAGTTGAATTTCTTTGGGTAAATGAGATTCTCATTTTGTCTTATGGGAGCAGCTGTAGGAAAGAGTATTGCATCATATTAAATGAGTACTTAACCACTTCAGAAGTGGTTATTAACAACATAGAGTCCTTATTCTGGACATTGTATGACTTAAAAAGCATGGGGCTTTATAATGCAGGATGGCTATTGTACCCACATCAACACAGTTAATGTTATTTCTCTTGTGAAAAACAGATTTGGAGACATCCCAGCCCAGCAGCAGCAGCCCAGGGGTGTCTGAAGCAGTGGCACTTGCTCTACGTGCCAGACAAGCAGCGCAATGGGAAGATTAAGACGACGTAGATTTCCAGCTGTGAGCAGGCAGAGTCAGTGGTGAATGTTGTCATTGATGCTCTGCAGAAAACAATACTGATTCACATTAATGACTGAAACAAACACTTTTTCTTCCCCAAGTGGAAGAAAAATAGGAGACTGCAAAATGCATTCTCCCTGCAGTTTATTGTAAGAAAGACAGGGAATGCACTGCATGTTTGGTTTGGTTTTGTAGTGAAATTCTGGTGATAACGTGGCCAGGCCTGGAGGAAGTCTTTATCTTGTTTCAGTAAGGGTCACCCCACAGTTAGTCATTTGTTGTTGACTAAATATAAGAAAATTTGTGCCTAATTTTAAGTAAAAGCTTTGGTCTAAAACTATTTTTATGGGTTAGATTGTTCAAACAACTTTTATCTGATCTAAACCAAAGGTGGAGTATCAGTCAAATAAAAAGAAAACTAAAGTGCAGTTGTTTTGAACGACAAAGATGTTGTAATGGCTGTAGACTAACGTGTATGAATGACTGTAAAGCTTTTATTCCATCTTCACTCTTCAGAGCCATTTTTACAGGTTTATTTCAGTCACTCAAAACCAGCTTGATGAATTCAATTTTTTAAGAATGGTTTCTTACCAAACATCTCACCTTTGTAAAACAAAGGTGTGAACAAAAAAGTTTATGACACCTGTTCCAGTATTGAACAGAAGGGATTGGAAGTAACACAACAGGGACTTTTTTTTTTTATCATGCGACTTTGAGACATTCAGCGCAGCTGCTTTTTACTCATAGCCCCAACTTTGCTATGATGATAAATTTTAGCTTTTTTTTATTTTGTTTTGCCTGGTTTATTCCTCCCTACCTGCTTTGGACATAAAAATGCCAAGGAAAGAGATACACCTGTTTCTCACGTTCATAATTTACATTAAAGACAACCCAGAGATACAAAAGATATAGAAAAAAGGACAAAATTTACATGCAAGACCAGAGATTCACTTTTATTATTTGTTTCTGCATGCATAACCCTGAAGTCTGGCTGTGAATATTTCAATATGGTCCAGTGTTGGCACTGAGGACAGTGAGATTCAGCGCTACCAGCAACCCGAGCAGCAACAAAAAGAACAGACCTTTGTAGAAAGGATCATTTGCTGTTAAGCCAACTCTTTTTATCAGAGATTTGAGAACAACTGCAGAACACAGCTGTGAAAACAGAGGTTAGAACTCAGGGCTGGACAGAAACTGGCTGAAGGTATAAGTAACAGACACAGATACAGAACATGCACCAGAAGGCTGAGACTGTTGGCTCTGCAGTACTTGGTAGAAAAGTGACACGAAGAGGTTCTTGTAATCATGACAAGAAAAACCACCTCAAGGAATCCGGCACACCTCCTTACTCCTATGTTTCTTTGTGCTTACATATAACATAAGATAAAAGCAAAAAATAAAATAAAAATTCATCACCCCTTGCACAAGATAGCATTCACTGACTAAATAGCCTTATACTTAGCTGCCTGAGTAGCAAATTTGCTTGAAAAATAATAATGTAATAGTGTTAGTGTCCATTTGACACCACCTCAGACAGCCCTCGTAGTTGCGGTAGCGTACAAGGCTATCTACTTCCAGAATGTATTTCATCTTCTCATCAATGTGTTAGATTATAATTACTTCTGCTGCTGTCTTTCAGGAGAGAGTATGTGCTGTAGCAAATATCCAACTCATAGAAGTAAAAAAAAAAAAAAAAAAAAAAAAAAAAAAAAGAGAACACACAAAACCAACAACAAAACCTTTGTAAACAGACTGGAAAGATAAGATTTCCTGAAGTGTGGCACATGCCAGGAAGTTTGCAACATCCGCGCCAAACAAATTCAAGTATTCTCTTAATATGTGAAGAGGAAGATGCAGTTCATCTGCCACTAATTCAGAAGTTTGGACTTACCTTAATTAGGACAATTGTGTAGTTCTCTCCACTTATGATTTAGCGCACCAACAACACCTACACAGCTCAAGGATCTACCTTACTAAGATATAATTACACAGTCTAGTCAAACATGCACACTGTTCTATGTGCAGTCTAATGTAGCTTGTGAGATTACATCTGAATAACTTGTAGCAGGTAACCAATCCATTGTTTCAATCACTCATTTCTGTTGAAATTAATATGACATTCTTCTGAAATTAAAGTACTAAACTTAGTAATTGCTATTTTCCATATAATGGCTATTAAGAAAAGGTGGTCTCCTTTATGTTGGGGCTGGCTCCACGTGAGTTTTATGCTCTTTGCTAATCATCCACAGTCTTCTCTAACTACCAGCTCCTTCCAGAGCGGAGCCAAAATTGTTTACGGCATGTTAACGGCAGCTGTGATGAGAACACCTAAGAGTTTTACTTAGAAAAAATCTCAAGCAACCTGCACTCATTTTGACATACTACATCAATCTACTAGTGCACAGCTGGTAAGTATACTGTACCCTTAAGCTATCAGATACTTGTTTATTGTGACCGCAGAATCTTTTTTTATTTCAAGTTAAATCTGGATTACAGATTCTTATGTATCCTTGTGAATGTCCTTCAATCATGCAAACAATTAGCAAAGAAAAAAAGACAGCTCTATTTATTCTACCACTAGCAGCACTCGGTATGTACCTTGATTTTAAAAATAAATACACTGATGTGCAGTATTAATAGAAGTAATCTAGCCTCCCTTGGTGCTTTTAAAAAGACTGGAACATAAGAAGATAATCAAGTTTTAATCATTAATTCTCATAGTCTTCACAAAGAACATGGATTGTTGGCTTTTCTGTCCCTGTTAAGATGCAATACAGCCATTTTTCCATGCAGTGGAGGGAAATACACTCGCCCTCTATTTTGGCACCATTTTCACCATTGTTTTCATAACAATAGTGTAGATGCTTTTAAGATACTGTAAATAAACCTCAAATTATTACACAGTTATAGAACAAACTGTTTCAAGTACTAGAATCAAAGTGCAATTTTACATTATGCCATCAAAAAGGCTGATATGACTTTATAACCAAGATTTAAACAATGCAAAGGAATAATAAAGCAATCTGCACATATAAAGATTGCCCAGTTATCTTATCAAAAATGACCCTTTCACATTACAATGTGATTTCCCCAGACTACCAATGGTGGTACGTCAGCTTTGCTCAGTGTTGCACCAGAAGGTTTTCCTGCATTCAAGACCTGATCACATAGCAGAAGTAAAATACTGTTCTTCTTCCCAGAACTATCGTTAGTAGTCCAATCTGCATTAGTGGATACTGTCTTGATGGTGAATTCAGACCTGCCTGAGTAAGAGAGCTTCTTTAAGGTGGTGAATAAGTAATTACAGGCCTAGTAATGAGGATCACAGTCTTCTACCAAGCTGTCTGTGATGTAGCTGGATTCAAGGACGTTTTCATAATATATTTTTTCTGCAAATGTGTTCACTGTCCAGGCAACCACTTGAATACCTTTTGAAGACCAGTGCCTCACATAATCTCTGAAAGGAACAAAGACACTGTAAGAGGAAGACAGACGCTATCAGAGTCAAGACAGACAGCACTACGGTTAAAATTGAGTTTCAAGTCTTACAGTGGTAACCCATCAGGAACGATGGTTGCGTTATCTTTTGCAACATGTCATTTTTTGGCATGTGTCACTACTGTAAACAAGCAAAAGCAACAGTATTCTTTCCCTTTGAGATTACAATTAGCATTTAACATAAAGTAAAAATAAAAGATAGAGGCTTAAAGAATAAAATAGCATGTAATAAGGAAACCATCTATAGAACCTTACACAATACTAAATAGAACATACCGATTAACATACTATTCTAGTGAACTAGTGATAGTGCCTCCTGATATATTAGCAAGCTTTAACACTCACTGAGAAACAAAATTTTTCTGTATGAGGAAGGCTGAAACCCCACATAATCTCCATAAGAAACTGTGTAAGCTCCAATCTAGAATGACATCCATCATCATATATAAATAATGTTTCCAGAAGGAATCGAAACGAGGCGTCCCATTTCCAAGATGACTCAGGTGCCAAGGCCGGTGTGTCAGGGCTGTTACCACATTTCTATCAGCTTGTCTCATCTGGAAGATCAAGGTGAAAAGACTAATTCAAACAAAACCCAAGTTGCTTTAAATATAAATTGGAAGAGGCTGGATACAAACTGCTAGCTTAAATTTACAGGTCTGCCACAATCCTTCTCCCCTTTCCCCCCAGATCTTTTCATAACACTTTTAGAAAGCTGTATACAATCCTGTACTGTTGTTTTCTTAAAAATTGAATTAATAAGCAACTGCTCTTATGTAAGAAATAAAAAATTTAAAAAGTGCTGGAGCAAAACGATCAGGCAATGCAATAAAATAAATGATAAATAGCCTTTGCAACAAGAATTAGGAAACAGTTTTAAGAAAAGTCTACATTTACACCAAAATATGGTATTTATTTGTCAGTTATCTTGCACATAGATAACTGGTCATGTGCCAACTGTAAGAGCGACACACTTTCAGAATGGAAGGAATCGCTGTAGATTCGTAAAATGTACATCTAATGAGCATAGAGCAATCTAATCTAATCAGATTCATGCAGGATTTATGATTTATGCTTCATGTGGTTTTAATGTCTCCACAGTTTTAACAACTCAAAGGCACTCTGGAAGTCGCATATCTTACTGAAATTCCCAGATAGAATTAAAAAAAATCCAAAATAAACATCACCTTATAAACAACATCTGGCATGAAAGAACAGACTATGCTGCTGTTATACAAACGAGGAAATTCCAGGTAGAGTTGTTTTAGGGCATCAACTGCCTGCCAATTAGAGATACACACAGATGTTATATTTACACAGACTCATGTATTTACTTTACACAGCAAAGTCATTTTAGAATAACCTCCTTTAAAATACTTTCCTGTTTTGTGCAGCAAGATTGACATGGAAAGGGGGAAGAATAACAGTATCTTGCTCATAGCATTATCTCACAAACACTGGTTTGGTTTTTGCAACAGAAGCCCTTTTTATGATTCTGATTAAGAATGCTACTCGTTCTAATGTTTGAAATACCCTTACATACATTACAGAAAACATTCTGAAGTACTGTCTAAGGTTTTGTTCAAGGGCAAAAATGAATTTATTTCCATATTTTGCTATGCTAGAATAAAAAATAACTTTAACTTAGAATAAAACATTCAGTTGGAAGGGGCCTTCAAAGATCATCTAGTTCAACTTGCATAAAATGGTAGTGATTCATCACCTGTATCTCTCTCAGTAATGCAAATTACAGACAATTGAGATCCCCAGTTGCAAGCTGCAGATGAGACACTAGGTCCCCTCAGCACAGGCGGGGAATTTGCTTTGCTTTGTTGTGTGGTGGTGACATGAGCTAAACTTGACACTCACAAGTCACATTCTAATTTTAAGTTGCCACTTCCTGGTTCAAAGGAACGGGGTGAGGGAACACACTGTTTTTGGTTTTGACAGGCCCATTTTGCATTACTTAAGTAGCAGACCTGGTTTCGCTCATGTTAGAGAGGACTGTACCACAGGTATCAGCTTGAGACCAACAGAAAAGGGTGAAAACCAAAAGCAAGGGTGAAAGAAGGTATCTTATTACAGTATATATAGTACAGTAAGCGGTACCTGATTTGCATGGCCTTTGACATCAAAGTAGATTGTAAGGTTGTGATGCATAGACTCCACAACAGCTTCTCTCAGAGTTGGTACCTTTTCACCCTGAAATTTGCTCCTGTAGGAACAGAGAGCTCCTCACTGGAATGCTGTCAAGATACCCATGGACATGCATGCACACACATACATCCCCAACTACATGGAACGGTTTCCTAGGGATTCCTAAAAGTTTTAAGTTTACACAAATTTTAACTGCTAATTGATCAAAGCAATCATTTTGTATATCAAGGATTTTTACCATTGAAACAATAGTTTCAGAATAGCAATATTTCCTTTACCATAGCCTGTGTTTTGCAGATGGATTAAGCCTCCTAATTTCATCAAAAGTCAAGTCACGCAGTCTGCCAGACCCATCAGTTGTTCTTTCGACTGTTTCATCATGCATTAGAATGGGAACACCATCGGCGGTAAATTCAAGATCCAGCTCAACACCTGTTGCTCCATTCTCAGCTGCCTTAAAAAGAAAGAAAGAGGAAACCACTTACACAACAGAACAGACAGCTTTATAGAATTAACACAGGCACAGGTATAATTCATTTGTTAAAAAGTAATAAACTACTAAGATTCTTTTCAGTAAGCCTGATCTGCAAAACAAGGTAGGTTTTACCCAAGTTCTTGTGAGAAGCATTCGTTGATCAGCTGAATGGATGTAATCTGTGTTACACACCGAGTGACAGTGTCAGGATTGGGACTGTTTCAGGATAAAAAGCAGAAAAAAATCCTGCTCTCTCCTTCTGGCCCAGTACCTCCCGACTCCATAAGTTATGTTACCTTCTACAAAGCAGGGCAGCAAACGCGTCCTGTTCCTAAGGACCATTATTTTATTTCATCACGACTCGGGACAGCACACCTGGTGACACCTTACCCCAACCCAGGGGCTGCGCTCCTGCCCCCGACTCCAGCCTCCCACCCACCCCACGGGGCAGCTCCGCGCTCCCCACAGCCCCGCTGCGCCCCGACCGCTTCGCTCCCGACCCGTCCGGGGCCAAACGCACCCCGGGACCCCCGAGGCCCCCGGGCAGGGCTGGGAGCGGCGGCGCTGACCTGTCGGATGGCCGCCAGCGTGTTCTCGGGCGCGTCGTGCGCCCCGCCGCGGTGGGCGATGCGGGCGGCGGTGCCGCGGGGCTTGAGGACGCGCTGGGCGCTCTGCGGGGCGGCGGGCTCCAGGCTGCAGAGGTGCAGCAGGAGGTAGAGGCCGGCCGGCAGCACGCACGACAGCGCCGGGCTGCGGCTCAGCGCCAGCAGCGCCACCAGCAGCGCCGTGAGGGAGCCCAGCAGCCCGTCCCCGCGGCACAACATGGCGGCGGCAACGGGCCGAGCACGGCCCCGAGCCCCGCCGCCTCACCTCAGCGCCGCGGCGATGGCGGCGGCGCCGTGAGGAGGCGGCGCGGGGCAGGGCTGCGAGGCCCGGCGGTGGCGGGTAGGGGGCGCTGAGGGAGATGCGGGGCGGGGCAAGCGTGGCTCGGGCTAATATTTATTTATTTTATTTTATTTTATTAAAAAATTAGGCTCGGGATAATAATTATTTTATTAGCAAATAAATAAATAAATGGGGGCGGCTGAGGGAGGGGTGCTGCTCCGCAGGGGGTTGCTGGAGGTTTGTGTGTTTGGTTTTGTCCTGTCAGCTAATTGGGAGTGTAACGTTGATAATCTTAATTATGTTCCAGTTATGCTCCCAGCTAGCTGCCTGCTCCCACCCACAGCGAGCCCCAGTCCTGTGAGAGGACAAAAGCCAAAATCATCAGAAAGTATCGGAGCAATGAGATACAGAACGGGGTGAAGGGTAAAGAAAAGGGGTGAAGGGTAAAGAAATGGGCTTGTCTGGCCTGGGATAAGAAAAGTAGAGCAGATAGCAGCCTGTATTTGCATAAATAAGGATTTGGGGTAGGATGTGAGAAACTCGCTCTGTAGCGAAGAACACTTTCCAAACAGGTGGCAGGGGTACCAGGGAAGCTTCTGAACTGGGTTCTGATCAACTAACACCAACGTCTGTCACACGGCGTCCCAGCTGGTTCTGAGCATCTCAGCTGCTCTTTTTGTCTGTGGCTTTGTGCTTGTGCCAGCCGCACACAAAGGAAAATCAGACGTGTACACACAGACACACAACAAGTAACTGAACATCTTACATATCTGAAAATATTTTGATAAACGATGGCATTTTTAAGATTCAAGATGAAGATAAAAACACAAAAGGAGCTGTTTCTGGAAGCCAGAACGTCAGCCTTCCTATCTCGGCGTGCTTGCTGGGATCCAGGCGCTTCCCCCACCCCAAGCGGCTGCCGTGCCCGAGGGCTGCGGGGCTGCAGCGCCCCGGGGCGCGGTGCGAGCCGCCCCCTGCCCTCCCTGCGCGTCCCCGTCCCCGCCCGGCAGCCGCCGGGCCCTCGCTCCCCTCCCGCCCCGAGGGCAGGCGGCAGGCGCGGAGCACGCCGGGAGTTGTAGTGCCGGGGCGGGCGGCGGCCGGGCGGCGGCCGGGAGGGGCAGCGGCTGAGGCGCGGGACCGGGCAGGCCGCAGCGGCGGGACCGGGACCGGGACCGGAGGGGGCTCGGGGACGGAGGGAGGCAGAAACGGGCCGAGGGGGACGAAGCGCCGGCAGCGCCTCCTGAGGAAGCCGGGCTGTGGTGGGCGGTTTGTGTTCTCGGTGGCAGGGCTGGTCTGTGTTGCTGCAGGGAGACGGGAAGGGGGGGGGGGGTGTGTGAGGTGAGCTACCCTCCTGTCAGCCCTCCGAATATCGAGGCTGCTCGGGCCTTAATATGGGCTTAACGTTAGTATTATTTTAATTTAGCTGCATTTTCTCTTTTAAGCGGCCGATGAGGAGTAACTGGTCGTAATGGGAGGCCTTAAAGGTTTAGTCTTTGATGGAAATGTTTAAGGTTACCTTTAACACATGTAACTGTGTATGTCTGGGTTACCTCAGTGCTTGTCTCATCAACGGGTCTGTGATTGAACATGGTTTTTCACTCATATATGTAGATCTTAAAAGCAAATTAGCTTTGCTGCTTTTCTTAATGGCAGGAAAAAGATTGAGTTACGTATCATTTGTTTCCCAGATACAGTGATACAGACATAAAAACTGAAATTCGTTGTGTTGTTGTTTTCCTTTCGTGGCCTTGGAAGTACAGTAGCTTAATTTTATTGCTCTGTGCTGTTTAGTTAAATGAAAATGGAGGACTATGAAGTATTCTGTAAGAAGCATCTTACCAGAATCCAGGGAGAGGCGATAAAGACAGAAACCTCTTTCATTGTTCAGCACAAAAATATCTCCTTCATTCAGTTCCATGGAGTTCCTGTGCTTTCACCCCTGGTAAGGCTTCTCTTTCTTTTTCTGTCCTTCCCTGGTGTGTTATCTGTGCTTTGATATGTGTGTAGTGATGCTTCTGAAGGTACAGTTCTGTTTTAAGGTATTACCTGACCGCTGCTTAGTGTAGTCTAGGCATTCCTAGCTTTAATTTTACAAGGTAAAGGGGTAAGTTTTTTTTCAGTTGGTTGGTGTTTTTTTTTTTTTTTTTTTTTTTTTTCTGTTTGTTTGTTTCAATGACTGCTATCATTTCTTGATTCTTTATTTATTATTTTCACATGGAGAGTGAAAATATTTGTAGTGTTAAATAGATAAATGTTAGTGCTGGGCTTAACTCTTATATTGACATTCCAAATGTCAAATAATCTGTTTGTTTAAAACTGTCCAAAAATAATAATGTGACAGTGGGAATAGGAAATACTGAGGTTGTTAAAAAGCTTTTTAATTATACTTATTTTTCTCATATATTTGTACTGTACTCCTATATATTTTACAGGGTCATTAGCTATGTTAAAGTTATTCTAAATTTAAACAGTTCCAAGCAGAAAGCTGTTGGTAGTTTGTGTTGCAGTGATGGGAATTATGAATGGAGAGTATGTCTGACAATGATCTCCAAAAGTTGTGATGCAGATATACATTGGAGACTAGAAGAGTATATTGTAATATTTTTCATTTATAAATGGGTGCATTTTTGAATTTTCTTGGAAGAAATGTATAATTTGGCTAGACACTGCTTAATTTTGAAGAACTTTATGAAACCACTTTTTGGAAATGAAATTTTGTAAATTTAGTTTTGACTTTTATCCAAACTACATAATCTAAAGTAGTAATGTAGAAGATTTTCTGATACAGGTTTTTGAAAGGATCCAGAAACTTGTTAGTTTACATTTCTGTTTGTCTGTCTCATTGTGAAATTCACCACTGGTTCAGAGGGCAAGTGCAAGCTAGTCCTTCACAGAGCTTAATAAATTGAGTGCAGGTAGGAAGGTTGGTCACAGGGCTGCCAAAAGCTCCCATCTCCATGGAAAACTGGGAAAGACCTGTCTTGCAATCTAAGTCCTGTGTCATTTGAAGTTGGCATTATAGCATGTAATGCTCATAAAAAATATATAAACTATCTTTTGAATTCATATTCATTAGCATGTATGCCAAAAAAGGCATTTAGTGCAACTGCATAAAAAAGCGTAATTGATTAAAAAGAAATTGGCATTTAAAGTGGGTGCAAAATCTCAGCTTAGGTGTTGATTTTTTTTTCTTCTGTTCTTAGTTTCTGTCGTTTTAATTTATTTCTTTAATTCTGTATTGTAACTTGCATTTAGTGGTATAAACCGTGTTTCTTACGCTCTGTTTTGCAGCTGAACTTTGAAAAGAAAAAGGAAATAGAGCAGTATAAACAGAAAGCACTGGATCTAGAGACCTGGAGACAGAACTCCAAGAAAAGAGCTTTACTGAATCGTGTTCAGGAGATTCTAGAAAATGTTCAGGTAGTGTTCAAACCCTTTTTATAGCTTTAGAGGAAACATCTCCTTACATATGTTTTGAGAAAGGGCTCGGATTTAGGTATTCACTTGTGAAATTAATAGCAGTTAACTCTCAAGAACCAGCATTTGCTAGTATTTGTGCTGTGTGACCAAATGATTGATTATTTAGCAGTAGTCTCTACATTCATTGTAATGTATGGGATTTGCTCTTCACTGCTTGTTTTGGTGTATGCAAAAGGCAGACCACACTAACTGACTGACTGTTGCTTTTGTAACTCTCAAGCAACTAGATTATAAAACCAACCAAACAAAACTACTGTTGTTACAGCAACTGGCTTGCTTTATTTGCAAACCTGTGGTTTAATCAGAAAAATGTGTGTGTGTGTATGTATACAGCTTCATGATTACAAAGTAAAATTACCTTTGAAACAACTTGTAATTCAGTTGGGTGCTTTGTAATTTTACTGCAACTATTTTTTTTCTTTGGTTCTTCGGTGATGAATTCAGTAGGGTTTTAACTGAAAAGAATATTAAATACATCTAATTAAGCAGTATTATTTGTCTTTGTTACATAGCTGTAATACAGCCTTTAAATTAACCTTTTGATTGAATGGGTACAGTTAATGCTGAGTGTGTTGAGTTACTAAGGTGGCAACCCTCTAAGTTACCAAGCTCGTAGTGTTTACTGGAGCATGCATGGCAACAGTCACCTGACTTGGGATTTGAAGAGCAGACCAGGAACTTGCATTCAGTACAAAACCCTTTTTTTTTTTTCCCCCCAAGGATGTTCCCTTGATAATTGAATTGCAACATGTAGGATAACCTGTATTTTAGTGTGGAAATCCTTTTAACCAAATGCTGGCTAGAAGTACCATGTAATTTTCACTTATATAAAAGAGAAGCTACATAATGCATGAAATGTAACTAAAGTTGTTTTTACAAGTACTTGAAAAGTTATATTTCAAGTCTCTGGATTAGTAAAGAAATGAAAAAAATATTTTATAGTTCTTCTATTATCTTTAGGAATTATTTTGATTTGTTCTTAGTTGTCTGTAGGTTAATCTATTTGATGTTGAATTCTTTCAATTGCATTTCTTATTTAATATGAACATGATTTCATATTTTAACAGGAATCTTGCAATACAATTTGAAGCCAAAAAATTATTTGAATGTATCCAAATTACTGAGTGAAGAAAAAAGCATCTTTACATTCAGATATTTTGTATCACTAAAAATTCTGAGTGGACCGCTATCCACATTTATATTTTAATTCCAGTAACCTTTTTCTCATTGCATGGAGTTCCATATTGTGAGTAATTTGAAGGAAATTTGCAATACTCAAACTGAAAATTTTTATAGGTTTTAAGGTCGCAGCATTCTCTTTTAAGTGCAGATGAAGTTTGCATTAATTTGAAAAATCAGAGATTTCATTCAAAATATGTGATATTTTTCAATTTTTATTTGCAGATCAGGAAGGGATCTATTGCAAGTGACGTGAACACGTGGGAGGGTGCGAATATGTGCCCTGCTTCAGACTCAAAAGCTTTGACTGACCTCACAGCTCCATCTGATGACAATTTACCATGTTCTCCTAAACAGCATGGTCCCACAGAGCTTGAAAAGACTCCAGAACTCGTGTCATCAGATACAGTGGAGCAAGTGACATCAAATGTGACAGAAGTAGTTCAAGCAGCAGAAGAGAATGTTTTTTCAAAGCAAAGCGAGAGTTGCTTCTCCAAAAACATACCTTGTCCAAGGGCTGCATCTCCTGACAGCACGCAGAGTAAGCTTGTGTCACATGCTTTGCAAAAGCAGGAGGTAGCAGCAGTGCCATCATCTGACAAGGAAGTCCAAGATCCGTATGCAATGAGCCTTCAGAACCTGCTGAAAAAATCCAGGGAGTATGTAGAGAAAGAGCAAACAAGGCGTAGCTCCAAAAGTAATTCAAAGAGGAGTATGAGTGAAAGTCATTCAGACAAAGAAAATGATGCGGTTAAAACACCTGATTCTGTGAAAGAGCGAGCAAAGCTTACAGGCAGAAATTCCACTGCTGTGCCGCTTGATAAGCCCAGTCTTAATAAATCAAATACCCTTCTCCAAGGTACCTCTGCTCATACCAGTAACACAAGTATGTCAACTTTATCCAGTTTTTCTAAAGTGGACATTCCTATGAGAGTTGGAACACCCCCACTGGTGGATTCAGATTCAGATGAAGAATTAAAAAATACTTCTGCGGTTGATCGTGACAGTAGCATTGTCAGGAGCCTCATGGGATCATATACCAAATTGCCAAGCCCAGAGCCAAGTATGAGTCCTAAAATGCACCGAAGGCGCCCAAGGCCTCTATCGATGGGACACATAGTTATCAATAATCCTGTGAATGCTTATGAATTGAGCCCTAAAGGCAAGGGGAGAGCGATGGATTTAATCATGCAAGATATTGCTGATAAAAATAATGTGTCTGAATCAGTGCCAAAGTTTATGGTGGACTTCTCTATGCTTTGCTCTAGCAGAGTTCCTGGTGTCATCAGGAATTCTGCAGCTCCCTGTGATGGGCTGGTGGTTGGCAAACTAAATCGACATTCCTTTGGGCCCTTGGAAAGCAAGGGGCCATTGTCTGCTACAGCGGAAGGACAGGTGGCCATGGACAGCAGGGGACCATATAAAGCAGAGACTGCTGCTACTACTGCAGCTCCAAAACTGAATGAGCCATTTGCCATCAGTCAGTCTACAGTAACACAGAAGCTCCTAGCGGTGCATGAAACCAAGCCATCTAGTTTGCTCGAAAATACTAAATGTAATTCTCCAGTAGAACTCAATAAATCTTACGATGTAGAAAACCCATCCCCGCTGCTAACACAAGGCAAGAATATGCGTCAGCAGATGGATACTCCAAGTGTTCCCCCAGCAAATGAGCAGTTTCTAGAAAATACCTTCGAAAAGGTAAAACGTAGGCTTGATTTGGACAATGACAGTTGCCAAAAAGAAAACAGTTCCTGTGGTGTAACAGTTGGAATGGAAGAACAAGAGAAGCAGTGGTTGCAAGAACAGAAATATTCTGTGGGATCAGTTTACATTACCAAGAACGCTGCCCCTGATTCAAGTATAGTAAAAGGTAAAAGATTCCTTAGTTTAGGGGTTTTCCTTCAACTTAGTTCTCAGTTTATAATTTTTTAGGAAAAAACAATGATAATGTTATAATGTAGTTGTTGGTGGTTTGAAGTATGTATATATACCAAAAGAATAAGTTTGATTATGTCAGTTACCTTTTTTCAGTAATTTCATTATTTCTCTGGCTTTTAATCTCATTATTTCTCTGGTTTTTAATTAATAATGAATTATGAAATTTAAATTGCTACCTGAGCCTTTCTTAACTGCTACAGAATGGAGTCATTGCTGATTTAGGAGTCGATTGGAGTCAAAAGTCTTATAACATCTGTTGGTAACAAATACTTGATTAAATAATTTATGAGGAAGGGCTGACTAAAACATTGTTTCTTAGTTTGGTGAATTCTGTGTTTATTCTCAAGGGTGTCATTTAACCACAAAAAATACTAAGTTCTCATCTGAATGTAGAATTTTGAACTTAGTTTTAATAAGAAAATAATATTCTATTAGACTTAAATAAGCCTACTGAAATACTCTGTGTAAATTAAAAGAAAATACCTTTTGAAAGGTAGGTTGCAAATTATTGTATAGGTATTTTCTTCCAGTTCAAGACTGTTACATTTGTGTGTGTCTCTACCACGTAAAGCCAAAATGGCTTAAGTATTTTAACTCAAGTGAATGTAGGTATACTCTTCTCAGAACTAGATTTTTTGCATCTGTGTTTTAATGTAGGTTCAGTTGGTGCCATGTGCTTATTCTGCAAATATGAACATGCAAGTATTTTGAAGGACTGCACTAACTGATAAAGTTCTGTGTAATACATAGTGGCAGCTTCATATCAAGGTTCTTGCAATATAGTGGCTACTCTATGTGAAAGATGTCATGTTTTTTACCGATGGTGCAAATTACTTCTGTTAAAGCATTTATACCTGTGGCAAAGATCGCATATAAAATGTTTGATGCTTGATTTTTTGTATTGTATATATCTTCTCAGAAGAGATTTTAAAAACTAAAATGTTGGCCTTTGAAGAAATGAGGAAGAGGCTTGAAGAACAGCATGCACAACAACTGTCGATTCTGATAGCTGAACAAGAGAGAGAACAGGAGAAACTGCAGAAGGTAAAGCAAAAAAAGAGGAAAAATTCCAAGCTGAAGTCATGTGTGTTGAAGTTTGTCAGGAAGCAATTGGTTTTAAAGTGTATATTCTGTTGCTTTGCAGTCTTAGAAAACCAGTCTTACAGTTGATTCTTTAATTCATAGGAACTGGAAGAACAGGAGAGAAAGCTGAAGGGAAAGAAGGTTGCTACAACAGAAATAGAAATTTCCAAAGTGAACATTAACAGTAGGATGGAGTTGGAGTGGAGAAAAAGCGAAAGTGGCTTACTGGAAAGTGTGCAGTCTCAGCTGGAGACAGTCCATAACACAAACTCAACCAGCATTGGTAAAACTTAGAATATAATTAAATATTGTGAGATGTTTTGCTCTGGGGTGCTTGACTGGACTGACTGCCTAATGTACTAGTAGAAACAGGGCTTCTGTTCACACCTTTTGTCAGCTGCTGCCTTCAACTGCTGACAGCATATGTAAAACAAATCTTCTTTTGCAAGTTTGTCTGGGTGGCAGTTTCAGCCATTCTTGTACTGTTCCACATGTTGCATCTGCATAGAGTTGTTAAGGGAAATATTTGAGTAAGGCAAGTTAAAAGTAAATTGATCTGGTCAAGGATGAGGACATGAATTTGCGTCATGTCACGGAACGTTCATCCTGATGCACGTAGCTGTGGTCTAGTGTTCTTGTGTGGGAGGATTAGAAGGGCTCTACCGGGGGGGTCATGTCTGTAAGGATGTACAGCAGTAGTCAATGGCACGTCTTGCCTGTTCCAGTGTGTTATGAAATGTTTGTTCTTTTTTTTTCCATTGGTTTATCTAATTTTGCTCTGAAATGAATCAAATTTTCAGATTGCTTCTTGCCTGTAATCGACCTTGTAAACAAAGTTGCTACCTCTGAGCTGAGTTCTGCTTCTGGATTGTTTTAACGTGCACTTCTCAAACAGATGGAAAACTAATGTTTTAACAGGAGAAGAGCAAAGGAACTTTGAGAGTAAAATTTCTGAACTACATGATTATGATTATTTATTATTCATCTTCAGATGCCATGTTAGCAGCATGAAACACTTCAAAACTGCTTTTTTTGAGATGTTTTATGGATAAGATTTTGTGTAGCAACTTTAATATTATGTGAGTGATCTTTTTTTTCGTGGTGTAGCATACAGATATTTTTTCTTCCAATATGGAAGTATTATAGTCCACAATGTGAATAAGAATAGCTAACAGCACTGGGAACCTCTCTGTTCTTTCCAAAAAGACTTCATGACTGCAGCCTGAGTTAAAAGTTTGTGTGTGATTGAATTTTTTTTTCCTAATTAGTTATTTTTATGGAGTGCTGTCTTATGTTTTGTTCTTAAGTATAGTAGTTGCATCTGATCTTGTATATAGAGCTCTGTGTGTATTTGTATGCATAGTCATTACTTTATGGAAAGAAATCTGTGTGTTAAACTGTACGCTCTGCTTTGCGTGCAGGTTTTGCTCATACTACAACACCTAACACCTTCACTTCAACAAGTGAAACTTCATTCTACCTCTGGGGACCATCGGGTAGTGGAGTTATAAAAACCTCAGTATCTAGGCCAAGTAACAGGATCAAAACTAGGTGGACTCAGGTAAGGAAAATTTTTTTTTATAAATTTAAAAGTCCTTTAGTTTTTGTAAGATGCTGTCAATTCTGTAATAGCTGTGTAGTAATAAATTTCACTGAAAAGTTTGGTATCCCTTCCTCTATTGACTTAAATTACATGGGACAACTGTATAGCATGTTTTTCTTGCTATTACTATATGCAAAATAATCATATGACAGTATATTGCTTCTGCTAAGTTAATACTGTGGTGGGTACTTCTGGCCTACCCACTAGCCAAAACTTTTTACCCTTATCAACAGCTTGTTTCTTACTTCAAAACTTAAGTAACTGATGTTATTTGAGAAATAATTCTTAACTTCTGCTTTGTTTATTCAATGTTTAGAAAATGCTACTTTTCTTTTAAGGTTTTCAGTCCAGAGATACAAATGAAGTTCAGTAAAATAACTGCTGTGGCAAAGGGATTTCTTACTCGTAGACTCCTGCAGACAGAAAAACTGAAACATCTTAAACAAACTGTAAAAGTAAGATCCACATTTTTAATTACGTGGCTTCTCCTCCTGTTGAGTATGTTCTTTTTATCTTTCTTTCTCTCCTGTTGTCAATTGACAGTTGAAGTAATGCATTTCCTGCTTTCAGAAGAATTGAGTAATATCTGCCATTTGAACACATTTAGGTGCTGCATTGCTTACTGGCATAAGGTCCAAGTAAAAGACAACCTGCACTACACAAAAAGTTTGTGATGATTCCTTGGTTGTGAAGGATTACGCTTGGTGCTTAATCTCATTTCCCCCTCTCCCCCAGGATACTATGGAGTTCATAAGGAATTTTCAGTCTGAAGCCCCATTAAAAAGAGGAAGTGTTTCAGCACAAGATGCATCCCTTCATGAAAGAGTAATGGCTCAGGTGACATAATTTAAACTTCCTTTTTCTTTCTTAGCTATTCTGCTTTTGTAAAAAGAAGTTGGTTGTTCATGTGTGGTAGTATAAATACATCAAACTTTCACAGTGGCTTTATTCAAAAGAAAAAGTTTAAACTCTGTGAAGAAAAGATTAGATTTTTCTGCTGACACATTAAGAGGAATTTCTAAATTACCTTTTAAAGCGTTTTGTCTAAACGGAGTTTGGTGATCATTTCCACAGGAAAGTTAACTATTTTATGAAATTTTTAACTATTCTTTCTAGCTGCGAGCTGCTCTGTATGACATCCATGACATATTTTTTACAATGGAGGCATCTGAAAGAATGAATATTCTGCGTCATGATCGTGAAGTTCGTAAAGAGAAAATGCTCAGGCAAATGGTGGGTTATAGTCACAACAGTGCAAAATGCTTTTTCTTTTTTTTAGAGTTTAAATGAGTCTCTTAAAAGCAAAACATCTTTTTTGCTTTTAAGAGACTCCTTTTTTGCTTTTAAGAGACTTTTTTTTTGCTTTTAAGAGACTCTTCCTGACGAAGTAAAAAGTTTACAATCTTAATTGTTAAATTGTGCTCGTGTAATTATTAAAAGTTAAAAATAATAAGAAAAATCACTGCAGTAGGAGATACCTGTCTTGAAACTTTTAGTGCGTAGACATAACAAACAGTGAAAAACATGATGAAAGTGACAATGAGGTTTCAGACTTAAAGAATTTGTTATGCCACACAAGCCTTCTTAATCTGGTAGTATAAGGAAGATTCTTTGATTTTAAAGAAGATAAAAGTCTTGAATTTAGCCTGAACGTGAACTTTGCACTGAAAAGAGAGAAATTTAAAATATAGCAATATTTTTATTTGTTTGTAAAGTAGGGTCGGGTCAGATGAGGTTAAGCTCAACTAAAACATTATTGAGTGTTGCTGTTGGTTGTTTTTGCTTTTATAGGATAAAGTAAAGAGTCCAAGAGAGAGAGCAACGCTTTCAACAGCTACGCAGAAATCTCTGGATAGGAAAAAGTACATGAAGTATGTGCAGATCTCCCTTTGGTGGGTGGAGGGTGCAAGAGGATGGGTAGGAAGAGTAGGAAATAGTGAAAATAAGTTTTTTGGAGAAACAGATTCTTTGGAAACCAACATCTCTTCTAAGAAGAATGAATAAAAAAGCTTCAGGCATGTGGTGTATTACCACTTGTAGCAGTTCCGTCTTACTTTTGAGAGACCTCTTGCCCCTATGGGCAAAATGGTTGTTCCAGGTTGTGCATTTACAGCGTATTTCAGTGGTGATCAAAACAACCTCTGTGCATTCAATTTATAGTTGACTTCTGTAGGTTATTTTATCAAACTTTCCAAAGTGCCTAGCAAGAGAGATATTTGGTAGACTATCTCTGGCAAGGAGTATTTTTGGGATGGTGGCAGACATCTGTCTACTGTAAAACAGTGGACAGAATAGAAGTGTTATGCTCACTCATATGTAAAAAGTGATTATCTGTAGAACTATTGTGGCAGTATTACATGTAGATGTAGATTCTGTTGCTGGTTTTCTCTTGCTATTTATGTTTAAGACTTACATGATGATTTTGTGACTTAAATATGCTTCAATGCTGTTGTTTCTCTAGGGCTTCAGAGATGGGAATGCCAAGTAAAAAAATAATCATAAAACAAAAAAGTCCTGAAAGCCGGTGAGTGAAGATTACTCTTATTATAATGCTTCTAAAGAACTGTCTTATAATGTTAGATTCTTTGATCTTTGTTGCTTGTTTGTCATCAATCAGCTTGATTTTAGCCATTATTATGGTATTAATGAAATCAGATTTAGTGTGGTCTGAGAAAAGAGGTTATTACTTCTGAAGTTAGAAAATACATTTTTTTAATTTTCCTCAAAGTTGGTTCAGAAATTATTTGTTTATGGTTTTAACTCTTTATGTTCAGGTTCAAGGTTTCTCTCAGATACCCTATTAGTATCTCTTAAGCTTTACTTTTGTGTGTGTGTCTTTGCTTTAAATAGCTAGTGAAAGTAGTATTTTTACTATGGAATTTTAATTCTTGCCACTTTTGCCCACATGTCAGAGCCTGCTAGCCATTCTGAAACTTACTGCATGAAAGATGATGCATAATTCAGTATACCTTGTGAGATTTTATTTTATATTTTTTTAAGAGGGGAAAAAAAGCACTAATAGAAGTTTGTGTTTTAACAGAGTACTTCAACCAAATCAAGGACAGAATGCCCCAGTTCATAGATTGCTTTGCAGACAAGGGTAAGGACACAGCATGTTCTTGGCCTAACATTAAAAGTAAATGCAAAGTGCAAGAACACAGTAATTTCCAAGTAATATTTATACTTAATGGTGCAACTGTTGTTCAAAGGCAAAATAATTCTCACAGTACTTTGAGAGTGTTGAAGCTTTGTTTTACCTTGTACTGCAAGAAAATACTTAGTATTATCATCCTCTTGTGTATTGTCTCCATTTACACCGTGTTTTGACATTTCTATTTGTAACATTCATTCCATGAAGCTTTGCTTCCACTTAATGAAATATATGTATTTTTAAATGTAGATTGTAATGCCACAGTATCTGAACTGAATCACTTTCTTGTACAGAGTTTTAAAATTATCTGGAGAGATGTTCTCTTATGTAATGTATCTTCTTAAGCCTTAATAATGTCGATAGGTGTTGTGCGCATAGAATCATCAAGGTTGGAAAAGACCTCCAGGATTGTCTGGGGGAGCCTATATGCGATGGCGTAAAAATGATTTAATGCCGAATAGTTTGATAGTGTCTTTATATTTTTGGATACGGTCTTTCAACATTGATGCAAGTGACTTATTAACTCTTTTATATTTAATTAGAACCCCTAAGACCTCAATGAAGGGGGTTGAGCAAAATAGAAAGAAGGCCTCAGAGAGCAGAGTGTCTAACAAGGCTGTTCCAGGTGTGTAGAAAATTGGTGCTTGGATTGTATAGTAAATAAGTTACTAGTATCAAGAAAAAATAGATGGGGGATATATTGTTTTCCTGTTCTTGTGCACCTGCTTTGCTGTGTCTTAAATCTAACCTGTCTCTTCAGACATGCACTGGTAACTTAACCATCCACTGTAAAGTTCTGTAAATGTGGGGTATAGAATGTACAACATAGCTTATTTGATTTCATTTGCCAGATGCCCACCTATAAGTATTTTTTCCAAATATATTCACTGTAACTGTTTGAGAGGCTAATAGTCAAACTAGAGTTGGATCGATTGTGTCATTGCAGTTCTGTACCTGTGTAACTTGTCCTTTCAATAGGGTTTGTTTTGAAGACAGGACAGTTTCAGAAGACTTGCCAGTGGGCATTTATTCTCCATAGGCTGAGACTTAAGTTTCTACTGTAGCATCTTACAGAATGTGTGAGTCTTAATGAGGCAAAAATAATACTCCAGAAGTGGAGTATTCCTGAGCTTGCATACAGAGATAACTGGTTGGTTACCTTTTTAAGAAGGTTTGATAATAGTGCCAGACCTCTCTGTTTTCAGCCTGTTCAGGCATGAAGAGAATAAAACACTATGAAATATCTTTTGCAATTTCCATTTTTTAATCTGATTTCAAATTTCTTAAGTGACAAGCATTTATTTATCAACAGATGAGTTGATTTGGAGTTTTAAAAGCAGTTTAAGATCTTTATTACACTTTGCTCTCAAAGGAGAGTTCCACAAGTCAAGTATAAAACAATTAGGAACTTCTGGGCTCAAGAGGTCAAACTATAATGTGGCAGAATTTCAGCTCCTTTTCATGTTGTTCTGAAATAATATTGTGTATTAAGTATCAAATCTTTCCTAGAAGGAAGTTTCTGCACTTACTGCTGACCTGGAGCAACGCTATAGGGAGTACCTCTGTACTTTAGTGCAGAGTGCGCACTGTTCAAATGTTCTGTTTTCTCAGAAATGATTGTCCTTGTACTTTGTGAAGCCTAGATAAGTGTCTGTAAAGGACATACACTAATAAGAAACCATGCATATACATCTTTAGTACATACATCTACATTTCATTTTGAAAGGAAATAAAGGAGATGGGGGGAGGAGCAAATGATGAGATCCCAAGCAAGGTTGGTTTGTTTTATTTTTCAGTTACCAATTCTGGCAGTGTTGTCACCACTACTGTGCAGCAAGGTAGTTACACAGTTGCACTCAAAATTAGCAAAGATTGTAAATAATCTCTCTGAAATAGAAAGAAGAATATTAAGCAAGCAATATAACTGTAGCAAGCAAAGGTAACCATATGGCAGTTACTATTTGCAAGTTTGATGAAAGGATTAATAACCCTTCCAGTTACAAAATTACAGCAGTTGTAAAGAGTAGTAATGGAAGGATGGTGTCAGTATCAAGCTTAGCATTGATTTGGGATCTGGATGCTTCCCCAGTCTCATATAATTGATGTTTGGGGTTGTGCTGGGTCTGTCTAGGCTGGAGTCACCTTTCACTGCAGCAGCCCGCACAGTGCTGTGCTCTACACTCATAGCTGGAACAGCACTGGTATCACTCCAGTGTTGTGTCTATTGCTGCATAGTGCTGCCACAGCATCAGGGCTCCTTCCAAGCCCCCAAGAGCCAGCAGGCTGGGGGTGGGCAAGTGATGGGGAGGGGACATTGCCAAGGCAGTTGACCTAACCCAACCAAAGGGATATTCCATAACACCTGATGTCACACTCAGCAATAAAAGGGGGGGCTCTTGTGGGGGAAGGGGCTGTTCCTCCTGAACAACCGCTATGCATTTTGAGGCCCTGCTTCCCAGGATGTGGCCGAACACCGCTTGTTGATGAGAAGTAGAGAATAATTTTTTTTCCCTTCTCTCTGTGCTTCCGCACGGACTTATTGTTTCTTTTGTTTCTTTTTCTCCCCATTCCCTTTCCCTTTAATTAAACCTTTCTCATCTCAAACCTTGAGCTCTCTGTGCTGTATTTTCTCCCCCTTCCTCTTTGAGGAGAGGGAGAGTGAGAGAGCGGTTGTGGTGGAACTCGGCTGCCCACCCCAGTAAAACCACCACAGGGGTGTGATGATCTATCGCATTTTTTACATTTAAGTCTGACATCCAGTTAAAACATTCTCTGTCACTCTCCAGCACTGGCACTGTGTGTTGCTCTGCTGAGTCCCCAGGTCTGTCTTAATTGCAGTTATCTAAGTTCTGACAGTTAGTACCAGGCAATGGAAGGAATCCTTTGGAATATCTCTCTAAATTTCTCATTGCTGTTCTTTATTGCTACGTGTTGACTACCTGGAAAGCTGTGTAATGCCTCCTGTTGTGACCTTAGAACACAAAGTAGATGATTGTAACTAGTTGTTCCAGTTGTAACTGGAACTAGACAGCATACACAATATAACCTCAATTCAGTGTTTTAGACATCACATAATTTCCTGTGGTATTTAAAAGACCACGTGGAAGTATTGGTATTAAATAAGTTAGACTACTTATACTACATGTGTAGTAGAAAGGCATTCTGAAATTACTAGATGGGGAATGTTTGGCATGAAAGAAATCTGCATAACTTTGCATAATGAAGAATACCTTAAGTTGAATATATTTAATGTGGTTTTCTGTATATAGGCATTAATTTGAATAGTGAAAGATTTGGCAATATGTTGAATATATTTGGTTTTAGTGAAGTAAGTTTCTTTTCAGGACAAATTCTTGAAAGTCAACTGTAGTAAGGCAACAAGTTTTGTCTGAGAGAGACCATAGAGAAACTATAATCTCAAGTCATTTTGAAAAGAAATGACGTACTTATATCTGTAACTATGCTAAGTCTGCAAACTCTTAACCCATAATATTTCTATTTTGTTTATTGTCCTCATTCATCCCTAACTCACAGTTAAATCCCTAATTCGCAGCTTGTTAGAGGGGCAAAAGGGAAGAAGGCTTAGTAGAATACAGATATCCCAGATGTCACTTAAGCATGTGAGAGATAACTTCAGAAGAAGACAGTGACGTAGCCATCAAACTACTTTTTTTTCCCCTTCTTTTGACTGTTCTTTTAACTTCTGTCAACAAAGTGCTTTGTAGTTCCAATACCACTCTGATTGCTGTCTTTTTTCTAGCACAAAGGTATTTTTCTTTAATAGGTGGTCTTAAATTTAGTTTTTGTTGTGTACTCCTTGAATCCAAAGGTCTGTACTAAAGAGAGAACCTAATCTATGAAGAGTCATCCTTTTGTTTGTTTTTGTTTTAATGGGGCAAAGATGCTCAGTCAGTAGCTTGCAAGATGTGCTAGGCAGGGAATTTACAGGGGGAGATTAGGCGGGGGGGAGAAAACTAACTTGAAATATGTCCACTTATTTCCTAATAGTAAAACATTAATAAAAGTGGGCTGATTCAAAACTATGTGCTTATTTTCTGTTTGTGAGATTTTTATATAACTTGGAGTGCACACAAGGAGAATTATGAGGGTAGTTTTCAATCACTACTATAGCATTGTGCTTGTCAGCCTGGTTGTTTGTCATATGGGATCACAGGTGAGCTGAAGAATACAGCACAGGTGAGTGCTGGGCCAGCAAGAATGTCTTTCTGCGTAGTGGGGAACAGTGTTCAGATGTCAGGGATCCTGCTGTGGTGAGGTCTCTGGGGGCATTTCCAAAGCTGCTTTGCACTGTGCTGAATGAAGCTCTTGGGCACCTGTGAGTAACCACTGTGACTCTGACAGAGTAACTGAGAATCCTAAAAAAAAAAAAAAAAAAAAAAAAAAAAAAAAAAAAAAGACTGGCACTTCTTTGTCACATTTGTTTAATTGCCTGGTAACTGTTTCTTTTCCATGGCTGTCTTCCATTTTCACTGCTCTGCACCATGTAATACAACTTTCACTGCTTTCACGTAAATGTTTGCTCACATTGCTGGACACTCTCAATAACTGCCTGAACCTAATGAATGCTGAATTGTGCTTCTTTTTAGCAGCCTGCAGTGCTAAACCCTTATCACTGGAAGATAATTGTGCTATGCATAGTGTAATATGGCTTTCTAAATATGTATATATTTAGAAATTTGTTACACGTGGAGAGATTTTTATTTTACTTTTTAATCCTAAACAGCTTTCTTTTTATTATAAGGGCTTTTTGCCTGATGAAGTTATTCATGCTGCACTTTTAATCCTGGTTGTGTTTATCAACATATGGAAACCTACAACTGTTCTCCTGAAAAGACAGTTCATTTGTATTAAGATTTGAGTATTCTCTGGGCGCAAATATTATTTTTTTTAATAAGTTATTGAAGTTTCTTTATTCTTAACAGTAAAGTTGCTGCTGAGTTATCTGATAGCTAATAACTGCATTAGGAGTGTGGCAGATGCAAAGTATTTAATTCAAGTCAGGCAAAGTAATTTAAATCAACAATTCCTATAATATTTTACCAAAGAGGTTTTGGCTAGTGAAGGTGTGGTGAGTGCAAGATTTGGTCCTTTCCTCTGTGTAATGCATGTGTGGGATGTTGCAAAAAGACAAGGCTATTGTTGTGGCAGCACGGGTGCATCTTGGTTTTGGCTGCTACTTCTTTGTGTCCCTTTCTCAGTTTTGGAGCTCTCTTTCTCAGTTTTAGCAAGAAGTTCTTCCCATTTGCAGCTGCTTTCACAGAAAGTTGGATCACAAGATGGGAAAGGAGCTTATCTGTGAGGAGAAGAAACTATCAGTGAAACTTTGCATTTTGCCTATGCCTTATACTTGCTTCCCTCTGGCTCATGCACACTTTTCTCCTGAACCTGAAAATTACCATCTCTGGGAGTTGCTATGCATTCAGAACAAATGCAACAGAAGAGAGATTTGTTTTTGTGTGTGAATGTCTGAGGAAGAGAGTTTAGGCCCACATTCCAAGAAACCATAATGAAGATAATTAGAAATACTAAGGTCAACTTAAAATATTAACTTCCTGTTCTTTGCATTATTCTTGCTCTGTCACTACCTCTTTGTTTATTAATGTGGGAGGTGGGAAAAGAAAAGTTGTCTTAAATATTTGACTTTGTATAGTATTTTCTTAATTGATAATCTGTTTAAAAGTAGTACATGGAATAGTTAATCATATTTAATATGTCGTGATAATGTTACAAACAGACTTTTTAAAAATTTGCAAATTATAGTTGTACATCTTTTATATTAGCAGAAAAGACAATGGAACAATTACTGGGAAAGGAAAAACTAGAATGTGTTGTTACTTTCAAGCCTACTAGTAGTTTTAGTAACCTGTTTTACTTACATGTTTGTAAGGCATTTCAAGTGTAACGTTATGAAAACTCATTTTCAAAGTAGGCACTGAACATATAATAATACTTTAAAATTTTGTCTTTTCAGCTATATTTGTTAGATAATCTTGTTGCAAAAAGCAGTAGTATCAACTGTGAAATGGTAATATTTCTACTTTGTTTTTAGGAGCATATGCAGGAAGAACCCAAAGAAAGAAGCCAAATGTTGTGACAATTTAAGACGACAGCACTCGCTGGGATAAACAGGCTATTTTTTAATGATGACATTCTCAGCACTGATTCAAGTATTTTATGCCCTAAATGTTTATGTATATTCAGAAATGATAAACCTGCTTTGTTTTTTTCCAGATGATGACATATTCATACAATCATATTTAAGTAATAAAGGGCTGCAAAGATCTAATACCGTGGAAAATTGCATGTTAAACTTATTAGATCTTCATACTACTGTGTACACATAAGATTCATAATGTTAAAGAAGACCATAGAGCAACATTAAGTTAATTCATGACTTAACACTCTGTAATTCTTGTATCTCTCATACAATTTTTGTATGACTTAAAATTGCAAGTTCTGTGTATGGTTGGCACCATAAATATGCATATATATTTTTAGTTTCATACCATAAAGTTAAATCAGTTAAATAAGAAAAAAAAAATCTTAAAACTGAGCACTTTGGTCAGTGAATTTGTCAGCAGCCTTTCTGAATGGATTTGTGTAAATGCAATTACCTAACTTCATGTCTACTGAGTTTCACAGGTGTGGATCCAGATTAACTATTGGACAGACAGATGTACTTGCAATGACTGTACCGAAACTGCCCCTTTATACACATGGTAGATCAAACCATTGTGCTGGAAGTCCTATGATTTTTTTTTTTTCCTTCCTGTCTGTGGCACTTTGTTACAGAAATAATTTTAGACGAGATTAAGTGAAGTATATGTTCAACAAAAACTTGAGATGGCAAGATTTTAATTGTTTTATTGTTTCAGACTTGCAGACGATTGTGTATAATAATGATTCATATGCCTTATGTTTTCTTTTTGACGACTGCAATTTTTCTGAGCAGTTTCTCTTGTACCATGATCTAACAGCCCTTGTGCTGAAATCATGTTTCCTGGTTTCAGGGGGGTAAAAACCTCTACCAAAACCCAAGAAAAACAGTCTCTCATTTAAGAAAATCTAATACTGACATATCATGTTCATATTTTGTCTTGGTTGTCATATTGATGGATATTATTCTTCAACATGAGGAGAGTGGAAGTCTCTAAGTTCTTTCTCTTAATGAACTGGTAATGGGATGTTAACATTAGAAACCAGAGGAAAAACTTGGCTACTTAAGTGTTTGCAGTGCTTACTTCTTTGCTCTTTTACTGTAGAACTAGGGAACTGATTACTTAAATGTGAAATGGGTTATATTTTGTTTTCTTCCTAGTATCAGTGCAGTGCAACCTTGGAGGCTTTGTAACATGCGGACACTGATAAAGGAGAAAAAAGACTGATAAATTTTGTTGGGTTAAACAATAACTTTAAAAAGGAGGATTAATAGTAAGATGAAGAGAGTTCTCTTCAGCAAGGGCAACAAACAAGTTGGCTTGCTTGTGGCACTAGTTGTGACCTCTATCAGTAAGTGTGTCCTCTGCAGCTAGTTACATTGTTTAAAAACAAATGTTTTGTACCAGGTGATACCAGATTGCTTATGTAGAAAAAGCAAAATACTTCCTAAATACTTTGAAGATGTCACTGCACAGTGGCTCTGTGCTGTAACTTTTATTTGAAAGCTTCAAGGGGTGCCTTCCCTAATGGTGCAAATATAACAGTTTATACCAGTGGAGAACCTGCCTCCTTCATATAAATTCTCTGGCTCTTTAAAATTTCAGATGTAATCCAAAAAATGCCTGAGACAAGCTTCTGGCTTACTGAGTAGTCATCAAAATGCTGATTTGATTTCTTTTGTTTGGAAGCTCCAGAAATAGGAGTGGAAAACATCTCAAAGGGGAAAAAAAAAAAAAAAAAAGACAAGTGTAACCTGTGCCACAGGTGGCAAAGCTTGCTGTTGATATATCAGAGCTAAGGACTGATGCTTTTAAAGGATGTTTTATATACTGTATTTATTATTAGCATAGTCAATATGTTGACATAAAGATAAGTTTAGTGTGTGAGTAAAAATGAATGCATACCTTCAGGTCAGGTTTCACACCTGAGCCTCTTTTACTTTAAGCATGTTTCCAATGTGTGTAATAAGACCTTGTAGCACAACTTCGTTTGTTTTTAATGAACTTTCATGCGGCCTTTCTCTTGACAAGTGCCAGAATTTGTTTGTTGTATTTGATCTGTGTTTTTTATTTATACATACTTAATTTATCTGACTTTTTATTTTGTGTGCAACTGTAATATCATTACAGAAGTGTATTTATTTTTGTACTTTCATTTTCACCGGTCTTGCTTTTTACTTAAACATGTTGCACAATAAACCTGCAATCTTTCAAAAGATTGGGCTATTTGTTTGTTTGCCCCCTAATTGCACGAAAATCGCCGCGTTAATTAGGACGGGGCCGCGGGATGGGGCGGGGCGGGAAATGGCGGCGGAAGGCTCAGCACGGCCGCCGCATCACGTGACGAGGGGGCAAGATGGCCGCCTTCCCCTGGTGAGCCGGTGGGAGGGGGCCGGGGGCGGGCAGGGCCCGGGGCCGAGGCTTCTGAGGGGGCTGCCGGGCTCTGCGGCTCCGTGAGGGGAGCGTGGGGGGCACGGCGGGGGGAGAAGCCTTCGGGAAGCGAACCCCGGCGGGGCTCGGGGCCGCTGGGCCTGAGGGGGCTGAGGCGGCGGCGGCGGGGGGTCCTGGAGCGTCCCCCGGGGTCGTGGCGCCGCGGTCCCCCCTCAGGATGCCGAGGGAGGCGGCTGAGGGGGGCGGTGGCTGAGGGAGCGGGCTGCTGAGAGCCTTTACGGGCTTTAAGGGCTCTTCGTTTGTTTTCCCGAAGTAAACAAGAAAAATAGTTTAGAGCAGTTCGTTTTTTGGCCCGGTGTGATCCTGCTGCCTTTTATGATGCCCCTCTAAGAGGAAGGGGCAGGGGAGATAACGGAGGTGCGGTCCCGCCGTGCCCAGGGGATGTCGCTGTTGATCCCCATCGGAGCCTCCTTGGTGGGTACCGTGAGGTGAAGGTTTCTGTGGAGAGAATTTAAATTTGCTACCAAGGGCTTTAGTTTCCATTAATTACCTTATACGAGCTCACTGGGACTGGGCGCTGTGGTTGTGGGCGTGTGCTGAGGAAGCAGAGCCCAGGCGGCAACACGAAGCGTTTCCACAGGAGCACAGCATCCAGCCGGGGAAGCTGCGCTTTGTACAAAACAATAATTTACATGGGCTGGTGGTGTGGTGAGGAAGGATAAAGGGGGCTCTGTCTCTGACAGAATTAAGGAAGATATGATTGTAGTTACTCTTTTCTCCAAACTTGTTTTTCTTTACAAATAAGCTGTGTTTCTGGAAGGCTTGCCCTCCTGATGCAGCTGATTTACTGGAGTCCTGAGCAAGCTAACAAGGCTAACGTAGAATCAAGAAAAGTAAAATGCAGTGTTGTGGTTTAACCCAGTTATTGGGTTGACATAAATTTCCCATATGTATATATTCATGCTGAAAATCATATCTTCTTTGTTATTAACATGAGCAAATATTTAATATAAAGTGGAAATAATTCATAGCTGTAAAAGTTTGTTGACGGAAACCAGTTGAAATTTTATATCAATGTCAGAGCCGTGCTTTCTAAACTAAAGCCTTTTGCACTGCAGTGAATTTAAAACGTGTATTTACACAGCTAAGAAAATCTGAGGGTATAATACAGTTGTAAGCCATCAGGTGGCTGCTGGAATTGCTGGCGTGCCCTTAGCGTGCCCTAGTGACCCTGCAGAAACTGCAAGGAACAGGCACGGCTGCAACTCCTGGCTTTCTGGGGGGCTGGGAGCTGAAACAGCTCCAGTAGCCTGTGGGGTAAGGTAATAGCAGTCCCAGGAGAACGGACCGCTTGCGGGGAGGAGGTTGGATGTCTGGCAGGCATTCAAGGTTGATGGCAACCACAGTAATCCTCCTGTGTGAAAAACGCTTGAAAACTGCTGTGGAGAAAGTACCTGCAGGCAGGGGCGTATCCTGCTGCATGCACTGCAGGTGGAACCCTGACTTGGCCTGAATCTTGTTTTCTCCTGGAAGCTGGCTGTGCTGCTGTGGCCGAGAAAGGAAAGCTTAATCTGCTTTCCCTAGAGGAGAGGCAGAACATCATGGCAAAGCGAGCTTGAACTCCTTACTCGTATTAGTTCCATTACAAGCTGTGTTGATCACTTGATCACATTGTAAATGCACTTTCTAAAGAGTTATTTACGGGGTAAACAGCTCTTCTTCATTCCCACACATGTATTCGACCTGTATGCATGCCCAGTGATGCCTTACGGTGTGGTTAGAATAAAGCTGATTTTGGCCTGGGAATGGTGTGCCAAGGGGGAGCTGTGAGCAGCATCTCTCTTTACTGTTGGTGTGGAAATATAAGTAAAGGAGGGTATGGAAATACTGACAGAACGGTAACAGAGCAATAGTGATGCTGTAATTAGGAAGCCAGTCTGTCAGAAAGATTGTTCACCCAAATGCTAATTAACCCATGTAGTAAGTGAACAAGGAGAATAACTGAAGTGTGGGACAATAGTAAATTACAGAGACTATTCCCGTGTAAAGAATGATGCATGCAGTTGACATCTTTTTTTAGTTTCTTTTTTGTCCTGCTTTTACTTAGAACTCTAGGGAAGAGTAAGCTTTGCCTGGACATCTGCATTCTTGCAGTTCCACAGGAACCAAGGGCATGAGAGCTGAGGAGGGAGTTTTACTGCTTCTTAAACGTTCTTTGAATAGGAATTTTAAATTCAACTTTTTTTTTTTTTTTTCCCTCTCTTTTAGGGAGGGGTGTATGGTGTATAATATTTATATTAGAGCTGGATCCTTCACACAGCTGAAATTCTTCCTAATGACTTTTGTGTCTGAGTAGGAATAGCCGTATGCATTAGCTTTTGTGGGAAGGATGTGTATTACGTGGGGGGGGAGTGTTTTTTTTCTGTTAGGAGCCTGATTCAAGACACCTTTGCAAATCCACTGTTTTCACTTGTGGATGCTTTACTTACATAAGGCCTTAGTGCGTGCTATAAACTTTCTCAAGATCCTGAAGGAACCAGGAAAGAACAAAAAAAAAATTTTAAAGAAATCAAGAAATTGTGGCAGGTTGAATGCAGAGAAAATTATTTTAAATATATTTTTTTTTAGATTTTAGTTGTTACAGCCTGGATCTCGTTCTGCTTTAGTTCTTACATATTTCTGATGGAAGATACCACGTGGTAGCTGTGATGTTATTTGTTTGGGGAAGGCAGCTGTCCTCTGTATTTTTGTGACCTTGCGTTTTCAGTTCCCCGTTTTAACAGTACTACTATTGCATACATGAAATGAATTCATTTCACATACTGATGTGTTGTAAGAGATATTAGAAAGCATGTGTAACTCTTCGTTCTCTTTTAAAGTTGTCACCAGTGTTAGTCAGGGAAGTTGTGGTTCCCCCTTTTCTGCCTTCCTACATTATCAAGTGTTCTTTAAAAGCCTTTTAAAAGATAAAGTTATTTAAGCAATTAAAAATAGGATGGATGGTCTATTGTAAAAAAGAGCAGTGTGCTTAAATAGTGGTTAATAAAATGTATTACTTTTAGTTCCTAGTGGCAACATTATTTTACTCCAATACTTTTATTTATGTTGATTTCTGGAATCAAGTCATTTTAAAATTAGAAATGGAGATGGTTCTCTCTTAATTTCAGATTAGAAATAAAAATTGAAGTGCCTATGGTTTTGTGATTTATTTCACTTAATGACCTACTTAATGTTGTAGGAGAGGCAAGGCTTTTTATACAAGGGCTTGTCCACAGTGCAAGCATACAAGTACTGATAGTTTTTTTTCCTCATCATTTTACTGTTTTGACTTTCATTATGAGTACAGTGAACAGATGGAAATAGATTTCCCATGAAAGAGCTTTGCAGCTACACAAATTAATCTGTGCAGGCCTTCATTATATCTGTGCACAGTCACTCAGATTTCTTCCCTTGTGTTTTCACACTTATCTTTTTCCTTCACTCTGACAGCTCAGTTTAAAAGCTGTGTTTAATAATCTCCATCAGCCTGTCACACAGTCATATGCTTGGTTAAATTGCCCTTTTTGTGTTGTTCGGAACAGAAGAGAATACAGCTGAGAGAATACAATTGAATGGTTGCAAGTAAAATTTATTCACTTTTAGTTTATGTAACTGTAAGTGAAGAGAGAAATTTTAGTCTGTCCGTTGACTTATTTTCCAATATGCATTTTTTTGTAAATATGCCTGCATCTATGTAGACATAAGAGCTGTTTCTCTGTTCATAAGTATGTGATTATTTATATGCATATATACTTACCCTTTAATCTTGTTTTTTAAGGCATGCAAGATCACGGAACTATGTTTCAGAATCTGATGTGTGCAAACTGGAATCCGTACCCTTGGATTTTGGTGACTACCATCCGTTAAAACCCATTACAGTGAGTTTCTTTTTGAGTGTTTGGAAAATTAATGCAAATCAAAACTGATTGTGTTCCGCCCTTACTTCTGTTCCTTTAAAATTGAAAGGCTTTGAAACTGGTGGCGGTACTAGCTGCCTTCTGTGTTAGTGGCCTTTTGTTCTAAAGGTATGAAGGTTTATTCTGTTGTTTGTCCTTTACAGAAATTTGCTGGTCCCGTTACATATCAAAAATGGGCCTCTGACTGACATAGCATCCCAGCTTGTGGGTTTTCTTGGTTGCATTAAATGCTGAATAATGGATAAGTTTGAAATCAAATTGTTGCATTACAAATAACCTGCATAATTGCTTGATGTAAGATTTGTTTTGGGTTAACTTCCAGTCAGCTGTATGCTTTAAAACATTTATCACTACTTTAATGTACAAGAGGCTTTTAAAAATGCGGATGTACAAAAAAAAAGCTTCAGAGAGATGATAGTCCTACGCTAATGAATGATAAATGGACAGCAGCTTTTACTCGCGAAGGTCAGCAGGGAGGATAAGATGAAGTCCTTAAAAGTGGATTTGATGTTTAAGGCTTGCGTATTGTGAAGGAAAAGTAAAGATCAGACTGGCAGAGGAAATGAATAGCAAGAAAGACGTTGCAAGAGAGGGAAGAAAACAAATAGTGAAGAGGTACTAGAAAGAAATTTAGAATGGATGTTCTTAGAGTTCTGTATACCCAGGACAGAGAAGAAGGAAAAAAAAAAAGTGATGGGAATACTCCCAGACTCAGGGGGAAGAAGATGTGCTCCAATTTAAATGTCAATGCTGATTCCAAAAACTTTCTTGTAGGTGGGTCCTTGCGTTGTTGCAACAGTCCAGTGTGTGTAGTCTGTATTTTGATCTTTTATTGAAGGGAAGAGGGGGAAGACAATGACTTTTTGTTA